TAAAACGATATGAAGTAGATTATCAACCCTAGAATATTTGTCTTGCACTGAACAAGTGTATAGAAATGTATAGAAGAGGAAATAATTAGCACAAATATGGAGAAGAGAAAGTAGTGTCGTAATGTCTTTGTTAAATGTTTTCAATGATTTAAAAATAACGAGAGAGTAGATAAAACTATTTATCATAAAATGCTTCACTTTTTATACCATCACTATTATATGACGAAAAGGGGTGGTTAGAGTGTTCTGTGTTCCTAGTGTTACGTTTTAGGAAGAATAACAAAGGTACTTTTGTTATCGTTTTACTAAAACATATTTTTCTGAATATCAATGCGCATCAAAATGCGAAATTTTAACTCACTTCAACCAAGACAACCACCAAAATTATCACACTTAGACCACATCTTTCTCGCTTATGTCTAACAAAACATCAATGATCAAAAAGCCATTTTACTTCTATTTTACTCTACTATCACTATTTTACTCCTACTCATGCGCGACGCATGGTTAAATGCATAAAGAATTATCCAACAAAACTGCAAATAGTACAGAACCAATCCCTGACTATTATTTCAGTACGCTCCCTAGTACGTTACCAATAAAGAACTGTGTAAAGAATTTAACTTCGAGAGTATAGACCATCTCTCAACTTCTACTCAAATATATGCCTCATTCCCTTAGTATCAGCACACTGTCTCTGAAAAATCCCTTCACATGCAGCCAGAATACAAAACAAATTTCCATTTCTCGTATTCCTTGTACAATTCTATGAACTGCATTCCAAGCAGAGGTTACCCGGATGTGTAACCTAAAGCAAACTGCATTAGTTTTGAGTTTAAATTCAAGGTAGCAATGTAGTGCACTTACTGTAGGTAAAGTTAAACTGATGTATATATTTTTAACGTTGTAAATATTGTTTTAATCAACGTATTGTCGTTCCATCATCATTAATTAGATGATTAAGAAATTATTAGATCACACCCACATGAACGTCTATGAGTTTTTCGAAATTTATAATTTTTATTACAATGGACTATTTTTTTAGAATATAGTTGATAAATTATGATTTTAAGCGTTTAAGCAAGTTCAATGCTTTCTATGCTAATTTATTGCCCAACTTGATTCAACGCGAGTTTCTCTTGTCAATGCTACTGCTCTTCGGTTAGCTTCAGACGAAGAAATTTCCTACTGTCGCGGAGGAAGACATTGGTACAGAAATGATGCAATGAGGGGCTAGAAATGGACAGAAACAATGCAATGCAAGTACCGCTAGCCGAACTAGTTTACTGTGCTCCGTGAGGCTACGGAGGTTAAACGAATTCAAAACCTGGAAATCTCCTGGATGGGTGACTGTCTAGGAACCCTGGGATCTTACGGCGCCAAGATCCTGACAGAAGGAATATAACGCTTTGACTAACTGCGACGTGAGGAGACTTGAAAATACAAATGAAGGAGAATTACTCCAATGCAGGCACTCAACGCCAAAAAACTGTTTCAGAGACGCATTGCGTCACCAACAATGTACTGAATTTAAACTAGAGGAGCGATAAAAAGTTGGTTGGGAGTTGATGGCTTGCGTGGGGGCGAGCCGCTACTCACCGCGGGGCACGACTGCTTCTCGATGAGGTTGCAGTCGCTGAGGAGGATGTCGGTGCCGTTGCGGCGCACCGTGACGTTGATCTGCGGGCAGAAGCCCGACGTCTTGGTGAGGCACCACTCGCCGCACGACGCCCACTGGCAGTTGCTGGCCATGACGGTGGCGATCGTCTGGCACATGACCGGCACGGGCTCCAGCCCCGAGCGGAAGGCGCGGTGCGACGGGATGTAGATGGCCACCGTCAGGTACACCAGCGCCACGCAGCTCATCACCATGGTGAACTGGCACACGCAGATGCCGCCGCAGATGCGCCGATTCTGCTCCGGGATCAGGCGCTCTTTCGGGTATTTACGGCCCATCGTCGAAGCGGATTGTCACAGTCGCACTAGTGGATTGCTGAGAACTCTTGGCTGAAGTGTGTTTGAGAAGACACTAGAGTAGGGCGAGTTTTTTTATGAGGAATTCCATTCTCACAGATGTCACGTATTGAAGATTGATAGTGAATTTAGGCCGGCGAATTGTAATTTTATAATAATAGTTTTAGTTTTGAGTTTCGGAAACCAGACTGCCTTCGTTGTGATTATGAATTCATCTAAAAGAATATACTTGCCAGATTTTTAAAAACCTATGGAAACATCTTAAAATTCACCGGTGACAAATGCTTTTCATGTGGATACACACGATGAATTCACATTTTGAATTAGAAAATTCGACGGAAAAATTCAACTATACTTTGTAAATTCCTTATTCGTTTATTTGAAGGCCTCTTATTATACGTTTCTGGAGTACTTGCGGCAGAAATGTGTGTATTCATGTAAACTTTGCCGGTGCATTATTGGCTTAAATGTTTCTGTCGTACAGTTGATTGTATTTGTGTAATGGTGACCTTGATGTAGTGGAAAATGAGAGCCCTTGGCGCAAACGCTATTTGATAAAGTGATGTAATCTTCAGCACGACCAGTATTTCCATACGCTGGTTATTTTTCTCGAAGCTATTTAGACACAAATATACCTATTACCGGCCAATATACAACCGTTTTCATTGCGTATTGCTTTTTATAGTCCGTAGAGAGTTTATGAGAACTGAATATAGTTGACTACTCTATTCTTGTGATTTCGCATGCTCTCCCATCTTCAGATTGGATTGCGATAGAAGTGTTTGTGGTGTATTACGTTTTGAATTTTCTATTGAATCTGTCGTTCATGCGAGAAATTTAAACTAAGCACTCTGTGCAAGTGTATTGATTAAATAACTTGTTTTTTTCTGAACGCCTTCAGCTTCTCGTGTTTGGGAAGTTTCCTTAGGCCTTTTTTGGATCACCACTGCGTCTGCGTGGGGGAGGAAGCTCTCTTCATTGGAGTGCAGGTTGACCGCAGGGCGCGCGGGCGGAGACGGGCGCCGAGGCACGGGAGAGGCCCACAGCGCGCGGCGCAACCACGGGGACGCACGGCCGCCGCATTGCCCCGCGCTCTTGCTCGCCTTGCTCCTGCAAACACACGCACAGACACACATTAGGGAATGGTATATTGGTTACATATTCAACACGCGTGGTGGTTTCGACAACGCCATTGTACTAGGAAAAAACTTATGGAATGCTGCGGGAAAAAAACGGCGAATTTTCGGCAGAAAAATCCTGATTACAGGGCCCTGGCGACAAAAAAGTGGATAAATACAGTTGCTTTTAGAAAAAAAATCATCTAACACACGTAGACGGAATCCATGTTTTGTGGGTTCTTGATAACGAAAAATCGAATGATGGCAAAACGTCTGCATGTCCGTCCGTCCGTGAATAACGCTAGCGGCTAAAACGTTCAGCTATTTTCCCCAAACTTTATATTCCTCTATCGATCTGACTAATGTCGCGGTCCCTTGAATTTAAAACCGATATTTTTATTTTAGGAGGTACTTTAAATGAAGCACCTGGGACATTTTCAAATTAAAAAAAATGGCTCCAACGTTTTTGATCATTTGTTTTTGTTTGATAGTGTGGAGAATGTTTAAGAGAATGGTGTAGGTCTCATGTTCGTTAAAAATCCTGATTTTTGAAAATTGCAAAAGTTTAAAATATTTTTGGATTCTTCCTACAGCAAAATATCCTGCAGACAGTGACTGAATTAGACCATATTTAGAACTATTTAGCCAGTGTTCTAAATCGTGTCACCGTCGGGACTCGATCCTAGGACCTCCCGGTCAGAGGCACTGCAGTGACTTCAGTTGGTGTAGACGGTGGAGAGATGTTGACGCGCGGTAAGTTTCATCAGCAGCCTGGTAGCACGTGCGGCAGTGACGCGCGTGATCAGAGCCGGGGTACAGGGGGGACAGGTGTCGGCAGAACGCCGTCATTCATCTCCTACAGGGCGCGGTCACTCGAGAAGAGGTACATCGGGCATTATTTTGACTGCACGGAAGCGGAGAGAGACTCCAAAATTTCATTTGCTATCGGGTCAAGTTTTGACCATTTTACTGTTGAGATGAACAATGTTGTCATGATGATTTTGTTTGGTACCCTTAGTCTTTTAGATTTTGATGTGTCCCGCCCTTGTTAGGTGTCTTTAACTGTGAACTAAATGTAGAAAACATAAACTGGTGGCTAGAAAAACTAAGATTCATTCAAAATGTAACAGAGAGTGGGAAAGGAAATTGACTTGCGATGAAAAAGTTGTCCAAACGAGTTTTTGCATAGCGTGACGTAAAGCTTTATCAAACAACCACATGACCAAAAACGTGTAAAGTGTAAAAATAGTTTTTGCACGTTTTGTTCTAATTGAAAGTACTAGTTCCGAAATGCGGCGCAGTATGCTCTAAATTCTTGTAACGCTACGTCTTCTTGATTGGCATTTATTCTACTACTGTAGAATTAGTAGTAGTAGTAGTAGAAACAATAACATGAGTACAATTTGACTGATATTATAATTAACGACTATAGAGCATGGCTTTGTGCTTCAGTTTGCTATGAGAAACAAAAGAAAATGAGAGTGGATTTCGGGTTTTGATACGTTGTATCAATAATGATCGGCGCAAAGGAAAGAGCGACAATCGTATTCTATATATAGTAGCTATGTGACTGCTTACGGAATATGCGCTTGGACGTGCAGGGAAGTCATTTAGTGTTTTGCGGCTGGACATGGTGCCGAGCGGTTCGCTTCTGACGGGACGGCGTGCGCCCTTATCGGCATCCGCACGGAAACAGCCGAGTTTCCGACGCGTGTCACCCGCAGGGCCGCTTCGACCGCTGGAGGTGTCTGGCCGCGCACCTGCTCCGCCCTCGCGCCGCCTCGTCGCCCATGCCACTCTAAGTTGGACACATTCTTTTCTTGGAACAGTCTGATTCAGATTGTAGGGCCCTGTTAGATTGTGAAAAATACAGTGTATTGCATTATCCGCTTCCGCGAAAGGTGCTCGATGTACGGGAGTGACCACAGTAAAAGTTTGCATTATGTATACGGTACTTGGATGACAATATACCATACGTGCGCCGTTATTGAATTTTTGTCTTTATTGTTCACTTTTTATATCGTCACATTGTGCATCGCCATTGCATGAATCAAGTCCCATGGTCGTCAAATTAAAAAAAAAGTTGTTAACAGTGAACGTAATAACAAAAAACTATCAGTTGTTATTGCCAGTGGGCAGGTTGTCCCCTGACAGCTCGTGTACCTTTCAAACATCAGTGATGTATGAGTAGCCTCTCCGTTATGGGCACGATATAAACACAAATTACATGCGTGACGTCGAGATTTTTCACATCTTTCGCATTTTTCACATAGGTTTGTTCAAATAAGTTCTTACAATATCTGACATTGGATTTACCTATGATTCATAATAGCTGATAATGTTATACTTCCCTTCAAAAATTCCCAACAACGATCGGCCTTGTGTATTACCTCCATAGGGGATATGAACTGGTAATATTAAAATATCTAAACGGAAATTCATGATGCTTGAGAAGTTTCAAACCTGTAATTGTCGTAAAAAAGACCTGCAGGTATGATTTTTGCGTAAACGTAAATGTGAAAAGTCAAATACGATTGCGCTTTTATTCTCCTGCATTACACACCGTTTTTATTTTCTCCGTATTCACGTGATGTTCTTCAAATTTAATAATTTCGGAGATAATACTGTTCACAGGTTGTTCCAAATTTATTATGGTTATCTCTCTCTCTCTGTCTCAGTCTGACTCTGTTTCTGTGTGTCTCTCTCTTTATAGTATGTCTCTGCTTTTCTCGGTCTCTCTCTCCCTCGCATACAGATTTAGTTGCAGATTCTGCAAGTATCTCAGCGGGTGGGGTAATATTGAGAAACGTCGGACAAACAAAAATTTAATAGAATGTTCAAGAAGATTTCATCCTGTATATTACGTCATGAGAATCGTTTCTTTCACGCCTTGACCTAAAATTTGTAGGTTTTCATGCCTTAAAACGCTTCGTGTAGGAGTTATTTGACTATATAGAGTCAAAAATCTTGCAGAGCGTTGCGGGTTGCATTTGTCATGAATATTTAGTTTTTTTTTGTTTCTTTTTTGCGTGAATTTTTTTGATATTTTAATAGTTATTCTACTATTCGGGGCGAAGGTTAATCCAACAAATCACAGAATATTAAAATTGGTCCAGCTGTTCTTGACTTATAAATAGTGTAACTAATCCGACTTTTATTTATTTAGATATACGTGGATTTGTAATATACAAGTGTCCACAGAGTAAAAGTCGAAACTTCGAAAGTAAGCTCTTAAGGCAATTATAAGCATATTTTGTCTAATAAACTTGAATATTCCGAATGGCCGTGCCTTAAGAAGCACTCAAAAGTTGGCTTGAAAAAGTACTTTCTATGCAAAAATTTGCTTTGCAGCAACATATAATACTCCAGAAACATGTAAATTGTTTATTATTTGATCACATGTGTTCAGAAATTAAAACTAACACAGGAATAGAAAAGCGCCCAATTTCCACAATTCCACTGCGATTTTATCCCCGCTCCGCGTCCTCCTCGTTCCGTGGTCCCCGCGACCATGCGTCCGGCGGGCCGTTTCCGGCCCCACCCACTGGCTCGCACGAGGGCATGGGCGCGGGCATGCGGGCGGGCGTGAACCAGTGGCGTG